ACAAAAATCGCACAAAAAAATTTTTTTATCAACTGTGATTGGCTGATAATCATGTGATATTAAATTTGATTGGTTGGGAAGATTTCGGAAGCGATCTGCATTTCATGTAACCTTGACGGTCGCTCCTGTTTGGTCAATTATATTATAGCATAGCATAAATTTTGGCTAATGGCATGCCAAATTTTTTTGCTGTACCACCACCCTAGTCGAGGCATGCCTCTCATGCCCATGGGAATGCTTTTGTATATCATATGATTATAAACTATCACCAGCAAATCACAACATGCGCAACATGACAGGCTTGCTTTCATTGTAATCGACCAATTTTTAAAAATTTTATTGGTCATTAAATTCTAAACTTTAAATCGCTAATATAAAACATAATATAATATTCCATTCTATATATTATCCAATCAGATTTAATGCCCGCTATGTTATCTTGGCCAATCAGATTAATATTTGATAGGATATATACTGTATATATTTTATGAATTACGGTTTCTATAGGTTAGGGTTAAGTATGAACATGCCTTTTGGCCATAAGGAGTGCTCTAATGTAAAGGCATTTTTGTTAAACATTTGCAAGAGAAATAAAGGTAAAAGAAGTCTTTATTATTGCACGCAGATGTTACTACTAATGATGCCTGACGAATGACGTAACCTTTCGTCATGACGAATGACAAAACCATTTCGTCAGGCAACTTCAAAATGATGAATGCCGAATGACGTAACTCGTGACGAATGACGAAACTCATGACGAAACATAAATTTTATATGAAAAGTATAAGAAAAATTCAAAAACAGGATCTATTCTTTAGGAGTCATAGAAAACTAGTTAATAGAAATAAATTAATCCATGTAAATTTAATTTTTTGCTCATTATTATATCTGCCCGGTTTGTTATGTTTTTTTGACATATTTATCTGACATTACCCGATGATTTGCACTACTCACCCGGATGTATCCGATGGGTCTGACGAAGAAAGGACCGACGAAACTTTTTGATGAAATAACAGTAATTTTGAAAGTTTTAAGATTCAGAATATTCAGAAAACGTAATAAAGGAGCTTGTTGAAAGATGGCTCACTGCATTTTTATATTTTATTGGTCAAATTAATTTCATTAAGAGTTTCGCAATCGTCAGTAGTTTCGTCATATCGTCAAGTTTCGTCAGACGAAACCATTGATGAAACCATTGACGAAACCATTTCGTCAGCGCCAAATAGTTTCGTCAGGCATCATCAGTTACTACATATATCACTTGCACCATGTTTGTAATTATATAGATTTAAACTTTTAGGTTTACCTAAAACAATTAAAACAAATTATTTTGAACTTAATATGTTACATTTTATTTTATTACAGTATTAAAATATATGTAACATGAATATTTAGTATTAGCCAGATAACTTTTTCGTTTTAGACCAATGCAATTTCTATTAATAATAGATAAAACCCATAAATAAAAATTTTTTGATTTCTTTTTATTTTAGTATTTGTAAGTATATAATAAGTTTCAAAAACATGTATAATTTTTAGGATAATAGTCATGATCCTTTGTAGAATGTAACTTGTATTTGTATGAATGCGAAAGGAAGGAATATCATAACTGTTTATAAGTTTCTTAGTTGTATCCTTTTATAAGGAATAAAAAAAATTCTTATTCATTTCAATAAAGTTAGAGGCATTTCCTCACCTTAAAATTAAAAAATACTTATTCATATATATAAGTAAAAGAATATACCTATTAATTATCAGTTAAAATTCCAAGTTATAATCCCCTTCAAATACATATATAAATATATATGTTTGCCGTTTGAACTATGACTTAGACTTCTTAACCTCTTATAACTAATTTATAAAATTAATTAGTCCATAATAAAATATTTACATTATAATGTATAAAAATAAAGGGTGCTTTTAGACATCTCCTGCGAGATATATATCTCTCGCAGGGAGATACATATCCCCTGCTTGTCGGCCAATAAAAACCAGGAATATCACGTGACCAACACTAACCTGGATCACGTGCAGCCAATCAATTACATATAATTATGTGTAACAAAAACAACAACCTCAGAAATAAACCCGACTAAATTTACTTCAGATCTAATCAAAAAAAGTTTAAAGCTGTTTTCCGGTAAGTTATTGATTTCAGCATGAACATATGTTTTCGCACAGACTAAACACACTACAACACTAGACATGAGCAAGCATTTAACAAAAATTTAGTAATATTGAGCGTGCTGACATTTATAATATTAAAATTATTATGTATATATTTTTTATATATAGGGATATAGTTATATATGTACGAACGTACGTATAATTTGTAGTTTTATTGAATCTATTATGCCGAATAACTAGGGCAATTACATTATAACCTTATAAATTTATGTATCTGGCGATCTAATGTAAAAAAAAAACATACCCGGATCAAATGATCGAATAATGACGGAATGGCAAACTGGCTGCTTTGCAGCCAGTTTGCCATTCCATCATTATTCGATCATTTGATCTGGGTATGTTTTTTAATTATTGCCCACTTAGTAGACAATAACATATACGTATTTCGTTTTAGCAAAACTTACACAAACCCAAAGAAGAGAAAAAGAAGTGGTTAGAAATATAATAAGGAAAAAAAAAAGAAGAAGAAAGCAAATCACACCGTTCCTGATGCTGATTCCATGCTCTAGAGAAACCTTAATAACGACAATACCCAAAGTGATGAAAACTGAAACCAATGACGCTGAAATGACGAGAATCTGAAATCTCCACAAACAACGGCGAAAGACTGAATCTTCACAAATGACGGCACAAATTACCTGCATCAGCTGATTTTAAATAATTTTCAAATGCTTTTTTTTTATCGCTTTCAACCCCAATTCCTAAATAATAACAATATCCAACTTTATAAATTCCGTTGGAATTATTCAGGTCTGCAGATTTTTGGCAGTAGCGGAATGCTTCGTTTTCATTCTTTTCAACGCCAATACCGAAACGACGAAGGCCTGAAATCTCTGCAAATGATAGTACAAAAGCCCAAAAACGGCAAAAGTCCAAAATCTCCACAAATGACAGCCCCAATAAACGATGACAATCACAACGGCGGCACCACTTAATAAACCTACAAAAAAAGACAAGTTAACATTGGTTCAAGCTGAGAAAAAAAAGCAAACGAAAAAGACCACTTATCTTACAAAATCTCGGTTCTAATCTAACATGCCTACAAAGAAAGTTATGTTAGTTCAAAAAAAAAAAAAAAAAAACCAAATAACGAAGAAATTACTCATCTTGCAAAATCTCAATTCTAATTTCTACTACCCGGCATTCTAGTGAAGCAAACCTACAAAAAAAAAAAAGGTTAGTACTAGTTCAAAAAAAGAAAGCAAAAGAAACAAAAAAAAAAGTAACCTCCAACTTATCTTACAAGAAAACAAAGAAAAGACTACTTGTATCAAAGCTCCCTCTTAATCTCTACTACCCAGTTCCAGCGAATCAAGCCTGCAAAAAAAATTAGTATTCAAAAAAAAAAAAAAAACCAAACAAAAAAAAAAAGACTACTTATGTCAAGATATCCTAATCACTATTCAGATTCCAGTGAGACAAGCTACAAAAAAAAAAAGGAATCAGTATTAGCTCAAAAAGAAAAAAAAAAAAACTAACTATCTTACTAGATCCTGTCTCTAATCTCTACTTCCCGATTTTCTAACGATGCAAAAAAAAATAACACTAGCGATGCACCAACGAAGCAAAAAAAACAGCGAAGCAAAAAATAACACTAGCGATGCAAAAAAAGGTACCAACGAAGCAAAAAAACAGCGAAGCAAAAAAAATCACTAGCGAAGCAAAAAAAAAAACACCAGCGAAGCAAAAATAAAACACGCATCGCATATCTAGATCTAATTTAGATCTAAATTCAGATTGGTAAGGATGGAGATCGGATATGAATCGATGAACCCTAATTCGGCACCAGTACTACCATTGGGAGATATATCTCCTGCGGAAGATATATATCTCGCGAGAGATGCCTATAATTTCCCAAAAATAAAATATTCGATTAATAAGGATTATATTTCACAGAATCAAAAGTTATCGTAGTGCAATGGCTAGAAAACTGAAGTTTAAAAAACTTTGGATATCAACATCTTTACAAAGAAAATGATTATTTAAGAGTATTTAAATCAAAAAATTTGTATTTGCTCATAAATATTTTTTTTTTCTTCTTCTAATTCTGCTCTTAATTCTTCTAAATTAGATTCAAGTAAAGTAATTGTTTGTTTCATTTCTTGTAATTCAAGTGTATTTTCACCTTGAAAACTGATTCCAGAAATGATTCTACAAATATTGTACTTATCATTGAATGAACTTTTCTTTTTGTATTTCTCTAGTTTTAAAATATTAATAATAGTTGAACTTAGCGATTGTTTTTCTTTATATAAAACATCAAACAAAGATTGGTAGCGTTCTTTGAACCAAAATAGTTTTTTTTCATCATTTGATAAATATTTTTGAAATTTTTTTCTACATTTCTTCTGCCTTTTAGTTTTAAAAATATTAACTACACCAGCACTAGCTCCTCCTATTGCTTTAATTTTACTACCAACAACTGGGACTACATATCCTGCAGTTAATATATGCTTCATTTCAGTAAAGATGGCAAATTTTCTAGTATCAATTGAGCTTTTAAATTTTTCATAACATTTTTCTAGTTTCCAAATTGTTCCCTGGTGAGTATTTAAAAAAATTTGTTTTCTTTCTAAGAAAAGCATTGTTTTTTCCTTTATATCATTTATATCTTTTTCTTTTAATATATTTATATGATGTGAATTAGGTAAATTTAACTTGCTATTCTTTGCTCTAACAATAAGTAAAGCATTTCTAATAGCATTTTTATTAGAATTCTCAATTATCATTTGCAATTCTTCATTTAAATAACTAAGATCATTGTATTCTTCAAATAAATCATGATCTTTAAGTTCTGTTATTACCTTGTCTGAATTATCTATGGTTATTTGGTCTACTTGTAATTGATTAAAATTAAAATATCTTTTTTTTAAAGGGTTATTTTTAATTAATGATATTTCACTAACAAGTTTTTCTAATTCAGTTTCTAATTGATTAAATTCCTCTTGTAAATAAAGCAAATTATCTAACTCTTCCTTTGATGGAATTTTTTTAGTTAACTCCTCTCTTATTTCATTTATCTCTTTTTGCTTTTCTCGAAAAGACTTGATAAGTATTAAATAGTGAAGACACTGTTCTACCAATTCATAATTTTTTTGCCTTAAATTGGACAACTCTTCTTCCTTCTCATTTAAAAGGTTTTGTAAATTAACTATCTGATTTTTTAGATCAGTTATTTGCTTTTCCAGTTGCATTTTTTCTTTTTCGCCAATAGAGGAGCCTTCAGATTCTTTCTCTTTCTTTATCATTTCATTTTGTTTATGTTCAATTAAAATTTCAAAATCAGCTATTTCTTGTTCATTTTTAGTCAAAATTTCCCCTATCTGCTCTGACTGATTGGAAAGGCTAGTAATTTGTTTTAAGTGATCACTTAGTTGTTTTTCTTGACCGACAAGGTTTGATTTTCCGATTTCTTCTTTTACATCATGAATATCCTGTTCTATTTTTTTTATATATTCTCTATTATCAATAGATATAGACAAATTTAATGATCTAATACAATCATCATATTCATTAATTAATTTATTAAAACGCTCATTAATTGGTTGAAAAAGAAAAAATTTTTGACAGTTTTTAGTCTGTACTACGGTATTGATTTCACTCAAAACTTTAATCAAACTTTCTAAATCTTTATTATATACATGAGCATTTATTTCTTCTTCAAATCTTAACCGCTTTACTATGAAATCAGTTGCAGAAATGCGATTTAATAATTTATAAGCTATTTCTTTATCATGTTTTGTTTTTTCAGTTAATTCGAAAAGAAGCTTTTTAACTTCTAGTGGATTTGTTACTAGGTTCATTATGAAAATAAGTAAGCTGATTTTTTTTCCTTAGAATTTGAAAATTTTTATTATTATTTTCGAGTCACAGTAATTCTTGACAAACTAGTAAAGAAGGGGGCGTTTCAGAGTTTTACTGAAAAAAATTGCAATTAATATCGGAATATTAAAATTCAAAAATGCAGTTTAGTTATATAGGTAAAAACAGAACTGATTTTATAAAAATTAGAGCATATAGCTCGCAATAATCGATATTTCCATTTTTCAACCTGTTTGCAGTTTTTACCTCCGGTCAGCTGAAATAAAACTCCAGAAATGTACTAATTTTCTTTATAGGGTTATATATCTATAGAATATTGTCGGAGTTATTCCAGTATAGTCAAAGACCTGCTATAATGAACTTCTATAACGAAGTATAATTAGTTGCAATATATTTAAATTGCCGTAATTTACCTAAGCCCTTTGGGGATAATCCTGGAACTTCGGCAATTTTTTAAGATTCTGGTATTACGTGCTCATTCTGCTCCAGTATTAGCGTTAAACCATTTATTGTACAAGTTATATATGTGTACACAAAGCGCATGCGTATGTAAAATTAAATCTGTTACCCTTTCTTATCAAAATTCTAATTTATGCATTCATTTGTGTCGTTTATGTCTTATCATTTAAATCCAATAGATAAATCATCTGTAGCGCCAGTTAACGAATAGAACCATACAATATACCAAAGTTAGGAATTACTGTATACAGATTATTAATTGTACGTATATTATACACGTTACAAAGTTGATCTGCAAGAATTAACGTTAAGTTAAATTGTGATGGCACAGCTCAATTGATTATACTAAAATTAGTGATTCATCGGATTGTATGTATGTTATAAAAACTGATTAATGTTAATGAATATGTAAAGCTGAAAGTGCCCTAAGGCCAAGCCAAGTTGAACATAACATGAGATAACTTGTAAGAGGGGGTGGGGAATTAAAAAAAAACACAATAATATTAGATACAAATTAATGCTGCAATCTTATTGGTTAATTTGATGTGTATTGACCTATATAGATTTTGAAAAGTAGAGGGGGTATTTAATATTATGTGTATTAGTTCCTATAATTTTGAAAAATTGAGAGGGGTGGGGTAGTGATCTAAGTCGATAGCACTTTAGTCGACTTAGTCGACTTAGCCGGCTAAGTCAGTCAATTTTTTCAAAAGCCAGCTTAGTCAACTCCTAATAATCCAAAATATATTTGTAAACCAAATGCATTAAAAAGCTGACTTTGAAATCTTTATTTACTACAACTCCGTTTAATATACATGGGTGCCGCTATGAGAAAACCTAACTTCAGACTTTCAATTATATTTTGTGTACAGTTAGCCGTCTATGAAAAATCTATCATAATGATTCGAGGAGTGACTGTACTTTGTTACACAAACTGCAGATCACTTCTGTAATCCTCCTACCAATCAAAATGTAACATCACATGTCAATCAGCCAATCACAGCTGATTAAAAAAAATTTTGTATGTTTTTTCATATTTTTGAGGAGCTTGCGTAACCTATCTTTAATATGAAATGTGAAATATGCTAAGCAAACTTTAAAGCTTTCATACTATTTTTCAATAATATCAGTTGAATCCATTTGAATCCAACAACTTTTATATTACGTTTCACTTAGCAAAGTTTA